CTGTGCCGCGGCCGAGGCCAGTAGCACCGAGTTGAAAGATGCCCAACTGCCGGCTGGTTTGTTAGGGTTTAGGCTTTATAGGGTTTAGGTTTAGGTTTCAGGGTTTAGGGTTTAGGGTTTACGGTTTACGGTTTACTTATAGGGTTTAGGGTTTAGGGTGCTATTTTGGGGGTAGTTTAGCGCCTGTTCGCATTGGAGCCGCGTGTCAGACCGCTTACTGCCCAGTGGAGTAATTAGTTCTTTTTTGCCCGAGTTCCTGATACAACTCTCTCCCAAGTCCGTGCCTTGAATTTCGCACTCGAAACCTCACTCCCCAACCCCAAACCCCTACACCCCCAAACTCTAAACCTCCTGAACCAAGCCTGTTGCAGGTAGTTCCACGTGCCCTGCCAGCATTCAAGAAGGGCCACAAATTGATCTCTTGGCAGTTTCACTATTCAGTCACCCTGAACCCTAAACCCTAAACCCTAGACCCTAAGCCCTAAACCTGGTCGGCAAGCCCCTCAACCCCAGACCCTAAACTTCTTTTGACACGACTGCGTATCGCACAATGCGCCGGTCGCAATGGTAACTTCTCCCCCTATGAACCTCTTGAACCTTAAACCCTAAAGCTTAAACACTAAGCCTTAAACCCTGAACCCAAATCTCCGAAGCCTTTTTTTTTCATTCCCGGCTTACTGGGGAACTTTGAATATCGTGTTCTTGCCGGTCCTTGCAGGGAATCAGGTGTTAGGCGAAGCGTAGGGTCTTGTTGGGTTTCGGTTTAGGGTTTGGGGTCTAAAGTTTTGGGTTAGGGTTTGGGGTTAAGGGTCTAGGGTTTAGAGTTTATGTTTTGAGGTTTAGGGTTTAGGGTTTAGAGTTTAGGCTTAATTGGCTTCGGGCTTTGGTTGAAGGTTTAGGTTTGGAGCTTTACTGTTCGCTTCATAGTGCAACCCCACCTCCCCCCCCCCCCCCCCCAGGGACCGGAAGCTCCTCAATCAGAAATGTCTGGACCTACGAGAAGGCTTTACGGTTTAGGGTTTAGGGTTTAGGGGGTTAGCCTGTAGTACTAGTAAGTGAGATTAAGTGAGGCTGCGTCAGAGGTTGACGTCAGCAAGGGAGGACAAAAGCTGCTGTCTTCGGCAGCTTTGCCGCGGAGGAGTTTGCAACTACCGGGGTGCTCAACCCTAAACCCTAAACCCTAATTTCTTGGTTACATAGGGGTTTAGGGCGTGAGGCCACTGAGCGTGAACCCAAAACCCATAAACCCTTATAATCTCCAAGACCCCAAAACCTTAAATCCCGGGGGTTTGGGGTTAAGGTTTAGGGTTAAAACCCTAAACCCTAAACCCTAAACCCTAAACCCTAAACCCTAAACCCTAAACCCTAAACCCTAAACCCTAAACCCTAAACCCTAAACCCTAAACCCTAAACCCTAAACCGTTTCGGGTAACCTCGACAGAACCGAGGTTGCCTGAGGTGTACAACATGGTCATTGATGTTGACCTCGTGGACGCATTGAGTGCCAAGGATTTGAGGGGGGGGGGGTGGCGCCCGAAGCCCAGCTTGGGGATTCATATGACAAGCTCTCTCTCTCTCTCTCTCTCTTTCTCTCGCGCCTTTTTTTTATGGGGCGGGGGGGGGGGGGGGAAAGCGGTATTTGGGGAAATGCCCATGTCAATGCATTCCGTTCTTGAAGGTTCATGGGGTCTTTCAGAGTAGGGTTTTCAGGACCCACCCTTTACCGGATATGTAATCAACCACGGTCCGCCAAGCAGGGTGTTGATTTCAGGTTTCGCTGGCCCCAAACCTCTGTTCTTCCTACTTGGTAACCCTAAATAGAGAACAAAGGGCCCATGTAAGCCCTGAACCCCTGAGCCCCAAGCTCGCTGGTAGGCATCGGGCTCCTACAGGACTCCGCACTGCTATGCGATGCGGCAACGGCTTCAACGCAGTCCCGCGGACACGTCGCGCCGCCCGGCGAAGGCTGAAAGCCCTGTAAGCCCTAAATATAACCCCTAAACCCTTGAAGGGGGCAACCAAACGTGTGGGCCCATTGCAGGTCACGAAACACCTGGGTCCCGCAATATATGGGGCTCCCCAATGTTGGGCACGTATCTTCTTTGTATGTTTGGGTGTGTGGATATGTGTACAAGAAGTATGCGCAGACTCTTTTAGGGGATTTATTCATCTTCTAAGGTATTTCTAGGCATTGTTCTGCTTGTTTTAAGGTCTGTGCAAGACGATCCCTGATGATCCGTACCACAACCAATGAGTTTACAGTCGGCACTGCCATCCTTCCTGTGAGTGCGGCGAGAGGCCGACCTTGTCTTTGTTGCCCAGGTGCCCTTATAGTAACCAACCCCCAACAGGGGACCCTTGTCGTGAAATGGTTACCCTGAACCCTAAACAATTACTATAGTGTGAGATATGGCTCCAGGGCTACGCAGCTGGGACTGCGAAAGCTTGCAATGATGTGTTTCCTTTTGGGCTTGCGGGTGTCCTGGCAGTCTTTCCATACTGCACGCGGCATGCTTTACACAGCATGTCTCTTGAAGCTTTCTAGTTGCTCTTTATAAACCTTAAGCATATCATAACCTCTCAACCCGAAACCACCCCAAAATCCTAACCCCTAAAACCCAAAGCTCCAAAAACCTGCAAAGGCCCGGTAACCCTAGACCTTAAACCCTATAAACCCTAAACCCTATAAATCCTAAAAACCCTATAAACCCTAAAAACCCTAAACACCCTAAAAACCCTAAAGACCCTAAACCCTAAAAACCCTAAACCCTAAACCCTAAACCCTAAGCCCTAAACCCTAAACCCTAAACCCTGAACCCTGAACCCTAAACCCTAAACCCTAAACCCTAAACCCTAAACCGAAGCGAGGTTCGTGTCGGAAGAGCCAGACAGCTACGGCCCGCTGAAGAGGACGATGAGGTCGCTGGGGCCTCGAGTGGAAGCTCGGGCCTCCATTCATTAGGGCTCTTTAGGGTTTAGGGTTTAGGGTTTAGGGTTTAGGGTTTAGGGTTTAGGGTTTAGGGTTTAGGGTTTAGAGCTTAGGGGTTAGGGGTTAGGGGTTAGGGTTTAGGGTTCATCTTGGTGCCTTTTGCATTCAGGGTTGAGATTTTGGGATATGGAGTTGAGGGTTGAGGGTTTAGGACTTAGGGTTTAGGGTTTGGGGTTTTGGTTTTGGGGGTTTGGGGCATTCAGGGTCTAGGCGATTTAAGATTTTGAAAGGGGCACGTTAAATATATTGGCTCCTTCAGGGAGGGGAGTGCAAGGGGGGTATGTAACCCAAGGTTCCCGAATACTCCCCACTACGCCCCAAGGCCCCCCAAGCTTCCCTGAGGCTCCCAAAGGCTCCCTAGGTACCTCCCCCCCCCATGAACCCCCTCAATTTAAGTACTCTATAGACGAAGTGGTTTAGGGTTCAGGGTTCAGGTCTTAAGATCTAGGGGGACTCGGATTCAGGCTTGAATGTCGAGGGTCTTGGATTGTCCTGGAGATTTCCGAAACAGAGCTTCGCCATTTGTTGGTCGAGTTACCTTCGCCTGGTAGCGGGGGTTGCTCTGCAAGCAGGGCCAGCAGGGTTTGCTGAGAGCGTACGGTTTAGAGCTTTGCCCGCGTTCGGTAATTCACCACATCACCCTTGGGGATTTTGCTTGTTCATATAAATCCCAAGAGGATATTCAAAATATTTGTTTTATTAAGGTTCTAAAGGGAGCATAGTTCAGGGTTTCGTTCTTCATGGGTTCATGGCTGCCAGCGTGGCGTTAGGCATTTTCGTAGGGTCGGACCTGTGGTTGTTAACAAACAGCTTCGGGTTTTCCTGGTATGTCTTTGGTGACTCCCACCCCCCCCCCCCCCCCCCACCCCCGCCCCTAGTGGCTCAATAGGGACATTACCAGCGATTGACCTCTCGCAGTTGTAGTAGTGTCCTCAGGCGAACCCTGACCTGCGTTTTAGGGTTTCCGGTGTAAAGGGTTACATGCACTTTAAGCCCCCAGGGTCCTAGGAAGAGCTGACAAAGTCCAGACCCCACACCCTCAAGCCTCAATCCACCCCAAAACCGGGGTCTTCCAAACCCTGAGCCCCAAACCCTGGGTTTAGGGTTTAGGTTGTAGGATTTAGGGTTTAGGGTTCAGGGTTTAGGGTTTAGGGTTCAGGGTTTAACCCCTGACCCTGGGGTGATTACACGAGCCCGAACCCTGCATCGCCCCAAGCCCATCCGAGCCCAACCTGTCAAGGAGGGCAGGAAGTTCGTCCGTGCACTGGATGAGCGAAGGGCCCTGCATCTGTATTCCGTGGCAGGAGGGGACAGGGGTGAACCTTTCCAAGGAACATCAGCCTTCAAACAGGGGGTGATCCCAGCAATCACATCTCTTCCTTTTGCTTTTGGAGGAATGTACGACGATGGCGAGTTAACATGGGCCCTCTGAAAGACTCCGCCCGCCGAATTGCACGTCACAAGCCAAATCTTGGCACTCATGGTTTTCACGGCGCACAAGTATTCTACATCTAAGACACAGAGAAGGCCCCTTATTCCCTTTGTTTAGGGTTTAGGTTCCCTTAGGAGCTTCTTTGCACCAAAGAGGGCACGCTTTGAATTGCTAGTTTACTCTTGGGTCTACACATGGAGCCCCAAGATCCTAAACCACCTAAACAATTCACCTTAAACCCCCCACCCTCAATCCCAAGACCCTCAATCCCAATGTCCCCCTCCCCCCCCCCCCCCCCCCCCCAAGAACAAAAGGAAGGACACATAAAGATGCCCTGTTTCAACCCTGCATGCTTGGAAGACCCTGGCCTCCGCCTCCATCCCCAAAACCCCAAAACCCCCAAAGCCCCAAAACCCCCCAAAAGCCCCAAACACTCAAAACCCTTAAGTCCTAAACCCTAAAGCCCTGACTCCCCAAAACCCTGAATTCCCTAACTCCCTCGCCGCAGACATCCAGATCAAAAGGGGGACCATTAAGGTGAGAGCCGCCCCACGTGGCCACCCCCCTCCCACGGCCGCTATGGAAGCGCTGAGGCCGGGTTCCCTTATCGACCTTGGTGGGCTCCTTAGGCTGTAGGGCTAATTCTAAACCCTAAACCCTAAACCCTAAACCCTGTAAAGCCTAAACCCCAGACCCTAAGCTTCAGAGCTCGAAGTCGTAGCTCCATTCCCCGAAAGCCCTCAAGTTGCAGGCGGATGGAGTCGCGGAGAACAGCTGCCGAATCTGCCGAAGATATCTCCAGCGCACCGCTGTCGGCGGCTGGGATGTAGGGTTTAGGGCCAGTTTAGGGTTCAGGGTTTAGGGTTTAGAAACCTCAAGCTTAGAGGGCTCCTTTTTGCTTTGATGATCAGGGCTTCAGGGGTTTGGGCCCTGAACCCTAAACCTAAACCCTAAACTCCCTAAACACCCTAACCCTAAGCCCTAAACCGTAAGCCCTAAACCCTAAACCCCCCTAGACCCTAAGCCTTAAACCCTAAACCCTAAAACCTGGGGCTGAGGATTGAGGGAGCGCAGGAGACTCCCATGAATCAGGGTTTGTCGGCCCAACGCCCTTGAGAAAGTCTAGGCTTCCTGATGCTTTGATGTTTCCCCTTTGAGCTCTCTTCGTTCTTAGGCTAAGTCTATGTCGATTTCGGGTGTGGCTTACAGGGTTTAGGGTTGAGAGTTCAGGGTTTAGGGTTGTTACGGTTAGGGGCCTAGGATGTAGTGGCCCTTGTCTGCTATTGCTTCTTACCAGGGGGGCCCCACAGAAGCCTGCTAATCCCGAAGCCTGGGCCTTGGGATGTACCTCTCATACTAACAGTCCTTAATTCAAACAGGGGGTACTATAAATCCTCTTAAAGGACTTTTTGTCTAAGGCGGAACATCCCAACCCTAGGTCTGAAACCTGAACTTCTCCACGCCACCGCTTCAGCATGGCAAGGTGAGATTTCTTCTAGGCACCTCCGTCGTGCTCATGATTCTGGGCCTCTTCTTCATGGGTTGCTATGCATCCCACCTGCAATTAAAGCCTCCCCCCCCCCCCCCCCCACCAAAAAAAAGCCCCCCCCCCCCCCCCCCCCCCCCCACAAAAAAACAAAAAAAACAATCCGAACCTCAAACTAGTACGTGTAGAATGGAATGGTTTAAACCTTTGGGCCTCAAGTGTATGCTCAGGACACAGAGGTAGTGCAGAGGTTCCAGGGTTTCGGTCTTTTCCCCAACTGCTCCACCATGCACTGAGAGGTGCGAGTGCCAGATTCCAAGTACAGCCCTATAGAGACTCTCTGGTATGGCGCCTTTTATTCTCTGGTTTCTTTGAGGTGAGGTTCCCCCATTAAGCAATCCAAGGGCATCTTTTGATTTCTTAGATTCCTGGGCAACCTTGTCCTAGACCACTCAAGTACCTTGATACGATGCTCGTGGGAACTTGGGGTACATTCGAGGCATGTTTGACCGTAGACCCTGAGTTTAGGGTCTGCTCGGTTTGCCCCAAATCCAAGACCCTGATGTCCCTAAACCCCTTAACCCTACCCGTGTATGCACGTGCTGCGGAGGCCATCTTGCCGGCAGGAGCAATGGTCCAGGAGCTGATGTTTGCTCTCGTCTGTATGACGCCCCCCGAAAGCAGCAACATGGGAATCTTCGGAGTCGCAGGGCTTCGGCTTTAAGGGTTTAGGGGGTTGGGGTTTAGGGTCTAGTCGTTTAGGATTTGGGGCAGCTCAGGGTTTAGTGGTTCAGGGTTCAGGGCTTGGGGTTTAGGGTTTAGGCTTGCGCGGGCTGTAGGGCTTTCTTTGGCCCTGTATATTGGAGACTTTAGACTAAACCTTGTTTATATATATATACACACATACGTAATCTGCGTGGCATTCTGTCCGAAGTACATGTCGAGAGATCACATAAGTGCGTGTGATACAGATGCTGTTGCTAATCAGTCATGTCATCAAACAGCAAACAGCATACCGTTGGGGTAGCCGTTTCTTCATATGGAATCCTCAGACACAGGTTCATGTTGTGGGGGGGAGGGCTTGGGGTTCGGGGTTTGGGTTTTCGGCTTCGGGTTTAGGGTTGAGGTGTACGGCTGAAGTATTGAGTTCGGGCAGGCCAATGGCCCAACTAAATCTGGCACCTGAAGCCCAAAGCCATATAACCCTAGACCCGAAACCCTAGCATTCGTACCGGCTGTCTTTCGGACTGCACAAGCCTGGCATGTGCGCGGTGAAGCATACATCTTGGCTGGATTGCATCCAATTGGGCGGCAGCCCTTAATTAAGCCGAAGGTACAGCTCAAGTCATCTAAACTTTGAAACCCTGAGTGAGGCCCATGTACCAAAATAGGAAGTACTTGCGTATCGAAATACTTCCTCTACAGGGAGTTTGGGGCCCAAGTATTCCGTATATGGGTTCATGGACCCTTAGGGAAGCCTAAACGCTGGAGCCGAAACCCAAAGCTCTAGCCGTAAACCCAACCCTAAACCCCAAGCCCTAAACCCCAACCCTAAACCCCAAACCCCAAACCCCAACCCTAAACCCTAAACTCCAGGTTCCTAACGGGCAGCCTCTCCTGGATGGCTTTGGTCCGATGCCACCTGCACCAGCAGGCAAGGCTTAGAAGTTCGGGTTTTGGGGTTATACTCTGACACCCTAAACCCGAAACCCTGAGCCCTAACCCTAAACCCTGAACCCTGAATCCTGGACCCTAAACGCCCTAATCCCTAAACGCTAAACCCTAAAACTTCGCGGCAGCGGCCTTGTGCTGCCCGCACCCATGGCCGGCGTTTTGTCCAAAAGTACAAAAACATTGGCCGGCGCGTGCTTTTGGGGCTTGTGCCGGTCCAGGCAGAGGCAACCAATTCCCAAAGAGCCCAATACCCCTAAATCAAGGAGTATACCGTAAGCCATATTCAGGATCCCTCTATAATTATGGTGTAGTCTGAGTTCGGGGTAGCAGTGCGAAGGTAGCCCAACCCAACAACAACCTCCCGAGCCCCCACCCGTTTGGGTCTAATACTTGTACAACCTGGAGTTTGGTCCATGTACCTCACATTCTATTCCTGGGCCCTACAGTCCCTATATAGGAAGTACTTCAAAACCCAAGTATTCCCTAGTTTATGAACCCTTGGGTTACTTGAGTGGTTTAGGGCTTGCGGGTTGTAGCTGTAGCTGATAGAACTTTACGGCTTGGGGGTTTAGGGGTTTAGAGGTTTAGGGTTTAGGTTAGGTTTAGGGGAGTCGGGGTTTAGGGTTTAGGTTTTTTTGAAAGCCCCCCCCCCCAAAAAAAAAAAAAAAAAAAAGAAAAAACATGAAATAAAAACACGCCCGCAGGCCTTGCGTCAGGAGGCCAAGGATGCCAGGAACGCCCATGAGCACGTGTGGCTTGGCCGAGCGCTTTTCCTAAGCGTGCTTGTTCAGGGTTGGGGTTTAGGGTTTAGGGTTCAGGGTTTCAGGGTTTAGGGTTTAGGGTTTAGGGCTTAGGGCTTAGGGTTAGGGTTTAGGGTTAGGGTTTAGGGTGCCCTAAACCCGAAACCCCATAACCCCAAAACACCAAAACCTAAACCCTAGGAACTTGCATTGTTTGTTCTTCCGACACCTACACCCTAGCCCCTATTAACCCTATTAACCCTACTAACCCCATGAACCCCTCTAAACCCTAAACCCCAATAAACCCGACAAGCCGTGGCGGTACTGCCGGTGTTTTCTTGAACCCAAGCTTCGGACGCAAGGTGCGTCGAACTCCGTCCAAGCATATTGGTTCGTCGAGTCATTTTCGGCCACAGGGTTCGCACACAAGTTGAGCCACCATGCACATCTTCATCATGAACGCGCCAAACCCTAAAGACAAGTAGGTTTCGCAGGGTTTCGCTGGCCCCCAAATATTCAAAAAGGTTCGAGGAGGTTCGTCGATGTTTTTGGGGTTCGTGGGGGTTCATCGGACTTCTGGGGTAGGTTCGCAGCAGATTCGAACTTGACACCGTTGCACAGCCTTTATGTCAATAAATCATGCAACAACGCAGTTCTTCCGCAAGAGCACCTTAATCGACTTTTCTTGGTGTTCATTCAGATTGGGATGGCCCAAGAAATCTTGTATTCCGGGAGCTCATGGAATCTGAAATCACAAAACCCATCCAAACCTTGAAGCCCCCTTAGACGTTAAACGCCCCCGAAACTTGGGACGTTCCCCCTTATACTAATCTTAGTATAAGGGGGAATATCCCAACCCCAAACCTCCGACGCCCTCTAACCCTTTGGCGGCCGAGGTGGGCATCAATGAACTTTCAGTCGCTGCCTACGGGTCGTCCCGAGTTCCGACTGATGCAGGCCAATGTCGGGTTTAGGGTGTAGGGTTTAGGGTTTAGGGTTTAGGGGTTTGCTTAAGGGTACCTATTTAGCTGGAACCCCCTGGTTTGGAACTTCCGCTGCTTGAAAACGACTTGCCATGTACAGGGCCCAGCCTACACTTGGCTCTTAGAAGGAAATTGGCGCGACTTCGGGTTTAAGCCGTTTTCAGGGGACCCTACAGCCCAACCAACCCAAAGCCCCAAAAAGGATTGAAGCCATTTCTTTACCGAAGTGAAGGCGCCCTTGGCCACCTTTTCTCCCCCTTCAGTCTCCGTAAACCCCTACACCACCTGCCTTCGGCCACACTGCCATCAGCCCTCAAACTCAGAAGCCCCCCCGCTCCCCCCCCCCCACTCCCTGCCTTTTCCCCTAATGCCTAAACCTTAGACCCTAGACCCTAAACCCTAAACCTAAAGCCCAAACCTGACCCAAATATCCAATTTAACCAGCGAGCTCCTTCAGCACTTGTTGCAGGTTATGCTGCCCTCTGGTGCAAGCAGACCGACCAAGCCTCTTCCCTAAGATGGAAGGCTTGAGGGTTTTATAGTTCTTCCATGAGGCTTCAGGATTGTGCTCAGGGTTTAAGTGGGCCCTGTGGGTGTTTATAGGCTTGGATAACCTTTATGGGCTTCGATCGGCTTTTATCTGCATTTGTAAGGTCTTTTAGGGTTTCATCGAGCGCTTGGGGCTGTAGATGTTTTGGGGTTTGCAGGTAGGGCAGAAAACCATTTAGGGGATTCCTCTTGTTTCGGCCCAAGGGTTTGGGATTCAACACAATGGGCACCCAAATGCAGAGAAACACACACACACACAGGATGGAGACACTGGGGTGGCTTTGTGGGCGCAAGATGCAGATCGTTAGTCAGAGCGTGGGCAACACACACACACACACAATTCCACCCCTCCATGTGGGCATGTCCTTGTGCAGAACCCCGTAGTCTTCAAGCCATTCTTGCTATGGGTTTTCAGAGGGTTCGTGTGGAGGTTTAGAGGGTTGAAACGGGGTGGCAGACGGTATTCAGTGCACGAAGGTGGAGCGGACGGTGTAGGATTCCGAAGCCCGGGTCGAGGAAAGTGCTTGAGAAAGCAGACGTGCTGCCGACGCGAATGTCGCTTCGGCTGCAGAGACCTTGTGGTTAGCCCGAAACCAAGGCGTTCGGTTTAGGGTTTGATGCTTAGGTTAAGGGTAATGGGGGCTTCCGAAATACGGGGGTACTTTATTTGGGTCCTTTTTTAAGGAAATCCTACTATTTGGGGGGTCTATTCTAGAGGTCCCTAATTTTCGTAAACCCCCAAATCATCAACCACAATTTTGGCATATGCTCCGGTCGTTGTCTTCGCTGCCTGCCAGAAGCTTCAACAAAAACCCCTCCCCCGCATCAGATACGCTTGGTCGGTCATCTTTCCCTTGTCATAGTGGGGTAACATTCTACATGTTTAATGGTACTTAAATTCAATGAAGAATAGAAGTTAAAGTTTTTAATACTATCCCGACCACTATCGCAACCATGAACTAGTTTCCAAGCCTCAAGCCTGAATCCGAAACCTATTGCTGCTAAGCCAGCACCCGCATAAATCCTGACCCGAACCCTTGCTCCTCCAACCGACCGCGTGTGCTCAGCAATCGCAGGTGGATGCAGCAAACGTGCCTTTGTTGTCTGGAGGACGGATGAGGTTTGGTTACTGTTCAAGGGCGGAGTATCCAAGGTTTATTTTTTTGCGCTTATAGCGAACATGCGGCTCAGGATTCAGGACTCAGGGGCTTCATCTCCTAAACCAAAACCCTGACACGGTAACCGTAATTAGATGGGGCACTTCTCCCTAAACTTTCCGGTACCTGAATGTCGAGCACTCAAAGTGACTGGTCGGTAGGCCATAAACCCAAAGCCCTAGACCCTAAACACCACAGAGATATGAGCGTTTGCGAAAATAGGGGACAGGCCAATAGAGATCCCCAAATAGTAGGCTTCCCTTATAATACGTACCCCAACCAGGGCCCCTAATTTCTAGTAGCCTTCCCTTGTAGTCAGGGCCCCTAATTTTGGAAACCCACGTATGAGGTGGAGGGAGGTGATGTGGGGGACTACCCACCAAGCGACGAACACAACCTGAGACATTACGACTGCAGCGACCGGGCGTTTTGGGGTGCAGGGTGTTAAAAAGGGTTGAGGGTTTAAGGTGATGCTGGACCCCTAAACCCTAAACCCTACACCCTAAACCCTGCAATCGGGAAAAGGCTTTTGCTACCGACGTCGCGCCGGGAACATCTTGAGACTACCCGCCGAGTGACGAGCGTACCTTGGAACGGGGCGAGGGTCAGAGTATCGCGACCCCGAGGCGCTCGACCCCTGTGACTGTTTAGGGTTTTGGGTTTATGGTTCAGTCTTGTGAAGCTCAAGCACGACACCAGGATCCGCCCTTTTAAGGGTTCCTTAGAGAGACCCTATAGACCCAAACAGTAGCACAGGGCGACTCTTAGGGGGGGTTCTACTTTTTGGATTCTGCGGAGCTGTGAGCATGAGACCTGCGGGAGTCGTCGCCGTGACTCGCCCTGATCGTCGTGATTGGCCGGCGACAGTGAGGAAACACGGACTTCCACAATAAATATTCATAATACCAATAATACTACATAAAAAGTAGTAAGAGTAGTAATCATAAGAACAGTAATGATAATATTCCGCAAGATTTCGGGCGAACAGTCGTGGACGACGAAGCGATACGAAGTCAGCAGACCCTCCAGATAAAATGAGAGCCAATGGTTCGGTACGATGCGGCTTCGGCTTTTCAACCAACGGTTCGGTTATTACGGGGTATAAGCCCTTGATATACCGTTTAAGGTCCCTATGTACCTAAATAACCCCTAGAGACCCCCTAAGATCCTTTATCAGGGTTTTGAACGGTTTGATTTTACGGTTCGCAATTCCGGACGGTTCGTAAACAAACTTTCTTTATAGCTCTCGTCAACTATTCTGCAAAGAGACGGACGGTCTTTTGTTCCCCCAAGGACGAAGGAGGTTCGGGCAGGCTTTCGTTCTCATGCCCCCAAAAAGGGGCTCTCTCTCTCTCTCTCTCTCTCTCTCTCTCTCTCTCTCTCTCTCTCTCTCTTGTTGGCCCACGGAGGGGTGATGTGGTAGGGGGGAGGGGGTTAGGGGGAAGGGGGTTAGGGGGAGAACACATTTCTCCACCTTTTGCCTCGCTAATTAGGCAGATGCCATGTATCCAGTACCTACTTGCCGGCCTTTTAAGCTGCCGCAAAGGGAAGCAAGCAAGCCAATCAAGACCAGAGTGTCGCAGGATTTCAAAGGACCGGACATCGTCTCCCTTCTGCCGTGTGGTCATATCTACCATGAGGCGGGGGTTGTTCGAGCCGGGTTGGGGGCTTAGGGATGCTTCGGGTATGGGAGATTTGCTCGCGACACGAGGGCTGTGGGTTCAAGGAGCTTTCCATCGTGTTGAAGAGCTTGAAAGGATTTGGCGCTAAGTCTTTTTTGGGACTCTATTTACCTACAGTTTAGTAGTACCTACCCTTACTTAGTAGGCATAACCCATAAAACTGGAGGGAAAGAGGGCCCCAGGTTCTTCGTGATGGGGCGCACGGGAGGACTTGGAGTTGGGAGGGTGCTCTGGCCCCCATCCTTGTCGAAAATGGCTCGGTCTCGACCTAAACCCTACACCCTAAACCCTAAACCCGAAACCCTAAACCTAAGCCCTACACCTCAGCTGATCCCAAAGGGTCCATGTATCTCAATAGAAAATAGTAAAGCACTTCCCCGGACTGGCGCCGACGCACCTGGAGAATGCTGATTAGCTTTTCGAGCCGCAGAGCCCCAAAGCTATCCCAATTCCAAGAGGTTTCGCTGCTTCGCAACCTTGAGCTCTGTTTAAGTCAAACCCTGCGTCCTGCTTCTACAAAAACACGTACTTTATAAACGAGCAAGTTATATATATGATTCAGCCCCGGCGGGCCCCCCCCCCCCCCCCCCCCCCCCCCCCCCCCCCCCCCCCACCCCCAATGGTACCCCCCCCCCCCCTGTGGTGTGGTTGGGGGTTGGTTTTAGGGTTTTAGGGTTTAGGGTTTAGGGTTTAGGGTTTAGGGTTTTAGGGTTTTAGGGTTTTAGGGTTTTAGGGTTTAGGGTTTAGGGTTTACGGTTTAGGGTTTTAGGGTTTAGGGTTTAGGGTTTTCCCCGCGGATGGGGTACTAAGATGATCCCCCCCCCCCTGTGGTGTGGTTGGGGGTTGGTTTTAGGGTTAGGGTTTAGGGTTCAGGGTTTTAGGGTTTAGGGTTTAAGGTTTAAGACTTAAGGTTTAGGGTTTAGGGTTAGGGTTTAGGTTTTAGGGTTTAGGGTTTAGGGTTTAGGGTTTGGGGGTTTAGGGTTTAGGGTTTAGGGTTTAGGGACCGTAGAGTAGACTTGGGGGGGGGGGGATACCATGGGGGGGGGGGGCCCAGGACGCTCGACGCTGAACCATATATATATATATATATACATGTATGAAAACTTGGCATATGTATACATATATACATATATGTAGACATGCGCAACTGCAAGTGGACGTCGCTGACAGGCCTGTCTCATGGAGTGGTTTGTGGCAGCCAGATCGTCGGGCACTTGCCCCATCTGCCGCCAACATATTGAAGTTGTTTAGGCTGGGGGGATTTCGAACCTGCTGGCTCCAATGTGGCCTGAGGCAGGTATACGTGGCAGACCTTAGACCCTCCAAAGTAGGTCTTCATTTTGGGGAGTAACCCTAAACCCCAAACCGTGTAGCAGCTGCGCTGTTGAGGGGAAGGGATCAGCTCTGTGATCCACCCCGCCTCCGAACCTGGAGCTGCCAAAGGCAAGGCCCAAAAGGCCAGTGAGCACTGTGGAATGGAGTTTAGTGTTTAGGGTTTAGGGTTTAGGCTTTAGGATTTAGGGTTTAGGGTTTATAGGGTTCAGGGTGTAGGGTTTTCAGAGCTTACGTGGTGTCCCCCGCAGCTTGTCTCCAAATATCATGGGCCACGCGGTCGAAAGAGTTGGCTTTGACCGGTGTACAGTTGCAGTAAGAAGTTGCTTGTTGCAGTTACGTGTGTATGTGTGTGTAGAGAGAGAGAGAGAGAGAGACAGACAGACAGAGAAAGAAAGAGGGAGAGAGGGAGAGAGAGCGAGAGAGAAGGAGAGATAGATGACATTCGACATTGCATGTAGGGCATAAATCACGGATTCTCCTGGAAGCCTCCAGCACGAACAACTACGCGGGACCCCGAAATGTAGGGCTCCCAAAGGCCGACGGCAGCTCTTGATTTGTCTGATTTCTCAAGCAGGCGCTGTGATCTGGGCTCACCAGGGTCATGCCCCCCAAGCATTCCAGCCCGTCGTCCCTGGCCCTAAGCCCCAAACCCGAAAGCCCAAGCCCGAGGCCCGAAAACCCCTGCCCCAGACTCGACAAGGAGGAGCGCCCTAAGAGTCAGCTCTTTTAAGGGTGAGAGTGTCTGAAAAGCCTAGTTGAACCGAAAGATAGGAGCTAGGCGACCAGGGAACCAAGCCTTTTGATGATGGAATGGGTTGATTTAGGGTCTAGGGTCTGGGGTTTCGTCTCCTTTTAAAGTCTTCCCCCTTCGAAAGTCTGCCGCACCGAAAGAGCTACAGTCGAACCCGAATCCAAGATCCAAAGCCCCAAGCCCAAGAACCTCCAAACCCCAAGCCCCACAAACCCTATAAACCCAAGAAAGCCGATAGACACTACAAACCCTACAAGCCCTACAAACCCTATAAACCCTACAAACCCTGCAAACCCTACAAACCCTACAACCTAAACCCAGCATGGCTTGTCCCGGTGGGCGCGACTCCCCGCTTGCGGTAGTATAGGTAGTAGTAGCCCCCAGGCTTCAGCTCGCGAGGATGGTAAGGATGTAGGGTTCAGAGTTTAGGGTTTAGGGTTTAGGGTTTAGGGTTTAGGGGGGAGGGTACGAAGTTCGGGTGTATGCTCAGGATGAGTCCACTACTGAACGCGCTGAGAACTCCCATCTATCCTTGGTTCTAGGCTATTCTAGGCCCATGCAGGAGGGGCCCCCTAGTGCTCCCCTTATGCAACCCTTCCATAACATTCGGTTCCCTGGTGCGGGTTTATGGTTTAGGGGCTTAGGGTTCAGGGATGCTGTAGAAGCCTTCCCCACCTTGAAGCTCCCTTGCTGAGAGCTTGTTCCTGATTTGTTCTTCGGGCTGAAGTTGCTGGCAAACACAACAGCATTGGAGCAATGATTAGGCGGGCTGGTGCCATACCAGGGTTGGCAGTAAGTTCCCTAAACCCTGTACCCTAAACCCTAAACCCTGTACCCTAAACCCTAAACCCTAAACCCTAAACCCTAAACCCTAAACCCTAGACCCTAAACCCTAAACCCTAAACCCTAAACCCTAAACCCTAAACCCTAAACCCTAAACCCTAAACCCTAAACCCTAAACCCTAAACCCTAAACCCTAAACCCTAAACCCTACCCATAGCCCGAAGCCTTATGGGGCACACAAGTCATGGGCCGAGGGTTTGGATTTTAGCATTTGGGTTTTCAGGGTTACTGTGGGTTTTGTGCTTTTAGGGCTTATTACAGGGTCTTTAGGGTTCAGGGCATGTGACGGTGTAGATTGCGCCCTCTCTACGACTCCACGATCGCTTATTCGGCCTGAGAGCCTGGGGCTACTCTTACGGTGGACATCATCCAGCGCAGTGAAGCAGCTTGCGCTGTTCAGAACTTCTTGCGTGATAGACGCATTTTGAGAAAAGAAGCCAGCAGACCTTCCAGCTATCCTGCTGCGCTTATGCGGCCGGCCGGGACCGAGGGGGTCCGGATGGCTTGATCCTTGCCAGGGCAAGATTTTCGAAGCATGGTGTTTTCTGCCTTATCTCTCAGAGACTGGTCCCTAGACCGCGAAACCGAAACCTCGAACCCTAAACCCGAAGCCTAAACTAAATCCTAAACCGTAAACCCTAAACCCTACACCCAAAACACTTGCTTCGACGGGTGCCAGGCATCCGAGGCGGGTGACCATCTGAAACTCAGGAGTGGTTTCTAGGGCCACGGTACCAGTGCCTGTCTCCCACTATCATGGGTTCCCTACTACCCCACCCCCCACCCCCCCAGCATTAAGGCCACTTTGGGAGAATTAAGCCCAATTAAGGCGCAATAAGGCCCAAAAAAGGTTATTTAGGGGGGGAACCCTGGGGGGGTGGGGGGTAGTATAGATGGGGGTAGTAGGGAAACCCATGACACTAGCACGGGCGATCTCCTGTGCCTTTGCACGTCTCGACAGGAGTTTCGACTTTTGGCTTCGGGGTTTCAAGAGGACTCCCTGGACCCTAAACTCCACATGGCATTGATCTA